GGTAATTTATTGTAAAAAAGAGAATTTAGCAACTAAATTCCTCCCTTCAGCTCACGATGAATAAAATATTCATCACAATTGAGAAGGGGTGGGTGGGCGGGGCTTATATTTTGTCCATTTTTTTGCTTAATATACGAAGTCTTCTTTTCCCAACAAGAAACTGACAATATGTTTAACTATCCTGTTGTGGAAAGAAAACTCTATATATTAAGAAAAACAAAAAAAATTAAGCCCCACCCACCCGCCCCGATCTCAATTGTGATTAATTTTTCATTCCTAATCAGACCGGTAACATCAATATTTCTCTAAAAAATTCTACTCTTTTAAAAACATATTTCGTGTACTAATTTCTTGTGAAGAAACGAGGATTTTGCAACTAAACTCCGCCCTTCAGCTCACGATGACTAAAATATTCATCACAATTGAGAAGGGGTGGGTGGGCGAGGCTTATATTTTGTCCATTTTTTCTTAATATACGAAGTCTTCTTTTCCCAACAAGAAACTGACAATATGTGTAACTATCCTGTTGTAGAAAGAAAACTATATATTAAGAAAAAACAAAAAAAAATTAAGCTCCACCCACCCGCCCCGATCTCAATTGTGATGAATTTTTCATTCCTAATCAGACCGGTAACATCAATATTTCTCAAAAAAATTCTACTCTTTTAAAAACATATTTCATGTACAAATTTCTTGTGAAGAAACGAGGATTTTGCAACTAAACTCCGCCCTTCAGCTCATGATGAATAAAATATTCATCACAATTGAGAAGGGGTGGGTGGGCGGGGCTTATATTTTGTCCATTTTTTCTTAATATACGAAGTCTTCTTTTCCCAACAAGAAACTGACAATATGTTTAACTATCCTGTTGTGGAAAGAAAACTCTATATATTAAGAAAAAGCAAAAAAATTAAGCCCCACCCACCCGCCCCGATCTCAATTGTGATGAATTTTTCATTCCTGATCAGACCGGTAACATCAATATTTCTCTAAAAAATTCTACCCTTTTAAAGACACATTTCATATGGTAATTTCTTGTAGAGAAATGAGGATTTTGCAAGTAAACTCCGCCCTTCAACCCACGATGTATCAAATATTCATCACAATTGAGAAGGGGTGGGTGGACGGGGCTTATATTTTGTCCATTTTTTCTTAATATACGAAGTCTTCTTTTCCCAACAAGAAACGGACAATATGTTTAACTATCCTGTTGTTGAAAGAAAACTCTATATATTAAGAAAAAACAAAAAAAAATTAAGCCCCACCCACCCGCCCCGATCTCAGTTGTGATGATTTTTTCATTCCTAGTCAGACCGGTAACATCAATATTTCTCTAAAAATTCTACCCTGTTAAAGACATATTTCATATGGTAATTTCTTGTAGAGAAATGACGATTTTACAACTAAACTCCGCCCTTCAGCTCACGATGAATAAAATATTTATCACAATTGAGAAGGGGTGGGTGGGCGGGGCTTATATTTTGTCCATTTTTTCTTAATATACGAAGTCTTCTTTTCCCAACAAGAAACTGACAATATGTTTAACTATCCTGTTATAGAAAGAAAACTATATATTAAGAAATAATAAAAAAAATTAATCAAATTTTGTACATTGACAGACAGAGAATTGCAACTAAAAAAAAACATGATTACTACTTTCAAGTCCAGGGACAAATGCTTGTTACGGGTATTTCACAAGTTTATTTTGTTGTGTGGACACCCAAAGGAATTAATATAGAAAAAATTTATAAAGACGAAGAAATATGTAAAAAGATGGCAGATAAACTTGGCAGATTTTACTTTGGCGCATTATTGCCCGAAATAATTGATTCAAGAAGAAAGAGGAACCTGCCTTTGCGAGAGATTTTTTTTAAATAAATAAAATTTGTTTCTATTTTTTTTTATGTACTTTAATAATTTATTAGGAGTACATTTTTCATCACCAAGACTTGCATATTTTTATTATAAATATATTTTGAAAATGATCTCTCGGCAAATGAAAACATCTACGAGCACTTTTTTCGAGTAAACAATGAAGGGAGAAGTTACTGGGAGTAGGGCTTTTTTAAAACACCTCCTTTCTGGGATAAGTAGTAGATACACTTAGCTACTTATACGTGTTAAACAAAAGCTGTATTTTATATATTTTTTATTTTTATTATAAATATGTTTATTAGTTTTATTAATTAACAAAGCAAAATATATATTAACAATAACATTACAATGAATTTTTAGTAATCATGTGTATTGAATTCAGGATCCTGAGTGGAGTAAAAATATTATAGTTCCCCAGTTTTAATTCGGTTTTATGATAGTACCTCTTTGCGCAAAAGTTAATTTCCTTAACAATAGATTACTACGGCCGGTCCTGGCGGCTTGTTATAAAATTGAGTTCCTTGCCATAAATTAGAAAAATCAGCCGAGAATTCTAACAATCAGCTTATGGTAGAGCAGGCGATAAGGGTTTTACCTGGAAAGTCGCTTCCGTAAATTTTAGTGGCGCTCCTATCGGCAAAGTACTGAACTAACTGCTCAAATTCTGTCGAATTGATACCCATTTTTTTCAATAATTGTTAGTTTTTAGTAAAAACTCTGCTAACCAATAGATCATTAATTTTCCTCTGATATTCCTGTGATATATTTTGATTTTAATAAACACATTATTATTTAAACAAATTGTACCACTAACAAACATTTAATGACTCTGCGCCCTGTAAAAAGTGATGTTTTATCCATGTGCGAATTTTCAAGCGATTCTATGATGGTTATGACTCAAGAAACTTGAAAAGAAAACATACAATGGTGCTTTTTTTACGATATTTCTCAGCCATATTTTTTTAATTGATTGAACTGGTCTCTGCGCTCTAGAATATGAAAAAAGCTGCAGTTTGATGTATGATACATCTATATTAATATCATTTTTTCATACAAAAAAACAAAAAAATGTTATACCTCGTCTAGCGAGTCCCCTTAAAATTCCTTGTATCTCACTAATACCTTACCGAGTTAAGGTACTTCAGAGTGTGTCACTAAGCCTGCGGTCCTCGATATCTCATGAATTATTATTAGATATACTCAAACACAATTTGGACACTGTAGGGACACATCAAACAGCGAAACGATGGCCTATTTGCAAGAAAAAAGAAAAGATTTTTCAGTCTTGAATAACTATGCTAAAGTAAAATGTTTATTTTTTAAATTTAATGCCACAATCCCTTCTTCTGCCCCTGTGGAACGGGTGTTTAGTAGCGGAAACCAAATTCTGACACCAAGAAGAAATAATTTAAGTGACAATCCGTTCGAAATGTTGTTAATTTTAAAAAATTCATTAAACAATACATAAAAAATACATAAACATGTTTTCAATTATTTTATTCGCCAAACCTTCAAAAAGTATGTTTTCTTGTATCTGTTGTCTAGATACATTTCGAAAAAATCGAAAACAATCTGTATCTAGATACTTTTAAAAGTATCTGTCCCCAACACTGAAAACAACTAATTTGTTTTCACATTTAATTCACATAAGCGACCACCCCACCCCCCATTTATCTTTCCCACAACCGCCACCTGTTCTCTAAAAACTCGGCGCGTTTTTGCACGCCCTCCCTTCACTCATCAACCCAATTCCCAAAAGCCGATTCAAATTAACCCAAAAATCTCTTCCCACTCGACCCGCCAATCAATACCCCGAAAATCCCAACACACCACCAGAACAAACAAAACACAGCCACCACGTCCATGATGACTGTCGTGTTTTTTTCATTGCGCACGCAAATGTGCCCCAGCAAGCTCTAACTTTACATAGTTCTTTATGCCGCCTCCGTTCCGCCGTCCGCTGCATCCTAAAAGAACAATAAAAGGGTCAGCTGAGGATAAAAATCTAGTAAAACTCCCCGCATACATCTTAATTATTATTATGTTAAGGCTGCTGCTGTAGCGTTTTATTTTTCTTTTGTTGCTGGAGGACGTTCCTGGGAGGTAAATTGCTCCCGAGGTAGTACGGTCCTGAGAATCGTGAAAGATAGTGGGAGAGGCGGCGAGAATATTAATTTTGGGTAAAATATTACCGTGTCTGCTGTAATATAAATCAAAAATACAACAATGTAAATATAAATCTATAATTAAATCCAGTCAAGTTTCTTATCTTATCTCATTCTTCATGGGAAAAAATTGTTTTGGTTGATCTCTACTTGGGAGATTCACAGTAGGTGCAAATTAAAAAAATCGAGAAAATGAGAACTGCAAACATTTTGAAAATTGAAAAATAAAATTCGAAAAGTCGAAAAATCGAGAAATCGAAACATCAAAAAAAAACAAAATTAACAAAGTAGAAAGTCCAGAAAGTTCCCAAAATTGAAAAATCGAATAACTCAGATACCAAAAAATCGTAAAATCGCAAAATTAAAAAAACGAAACTGAAAAATCAAAAATTTAAAAATTCGAACAATTGAAACAGAGATATGGAAGAACAGAAAAGTGAAAAATTGAAGAATTCCAAAACTGAAAGACGAAGCATTGGAAAATAGAAAATTTGAAAAAAGAAGAAAACAGCGAATCACAATCGAAAGATCGAAATGTTAAAAATTGAAAAATTTAATCATCACAGTTTGAAAAATTGGTCGAAGTTTATTTCGACAGGTCTTTCCCCGGCTGAAGCAAGTATAAGTTCAACAAATCCTGCTTCTTTGAAAAATTATAAAATTAGATTTTGCGATGGATGTTTTGTGATAATCTCTATAAAGTAAAATCCAGCGACATAAAGAACACCTCCGCAGCCCCTGCGCCGAACAAAAAAGCAAAACCAGAATGAGAAACGATACTGAAAACAAAAGACAGTCAACCGACGGAGGCAGCGCTTTACGCATGGGACTGACTGGCTGCAAGTCGTAAATTACTGGAATGGCCGGAATCGGCCAGTTTTGCATTTTGCACAACCTCGAGATCATATGTGTCAACAAACACTGAGGCGAAAACCAAATTGTATTTTTGTAAAAACCAAATTAAAAACAAATAAATTTTATTTTCCTTACATTTAGGGACCTGTTTATTTATCTGTTGATTTTGTTGTAATCACTACTTTATACTACTATAGCACAATGCAATATAATGGCACAGTGTGCCGTAAGCTGGTAGTTATATTATAATCTACTTATCTAAAACTGTTATCACAATAGTAATTCCAGTTTTACGGTATGAAATGTTGCGGGTCCCACCAGTTGAAAAACCCGCTTCTGCTTCACCGATCGCGTACTTCTGGTTAATTCTATACCATGCGCTTGAATTGTCTTCAAACCAAAAAGTCATGGTGAAAGGACAATTTGATGCGTAATAGTTCACTTCCATTCTTGTTTCAACAGTAGCTCCTGAGGGAATTGCCTTATTTTGAAACCTCTCTATTGGACCGTTTCCATCTTCAAAATCGAAACCGTCTACGCCACTTACAATGGTCGTTATGATGTCTTCTTTCGAAAAATTTTGTATCATGAGATGAGTTTCTTGGCTCCGAGCAGAGACCGAGACGAAAAATAGACCGAAGAAAAGGCAAAAAAATATCGGTTGCATTTTGACTAAAAAAAAATCAACTTAATAGGAAAGAGTATTCGTCATTTGAACTTACGTTTTATTTGGAGCACTAAGACTTTCAGGATACCTACTGAACTGGCATATCGCTCAGCGGTTGGAGGTTTTTATAGTAATTTTTCGATCCTTAAAATATGTGTCAATTTTTGATAACAATAACCGTGATATTAATAAATAATAGGAGTACTAAATAAACAGACCTTCAGTTGCTACAGGTATTACACAATTACAGAAAAAATAGATTAATATAATATGGTACGTTGAATTAACTAAAAATGCAAAATAAAAAGAACATTGTTACGTTGATCGGTAATTTAAAAATCGGCGTAGGTAAAACTCAACAATTTATTTCTCAATAACTCATAGTTAGTTTTAATTTGTAAATGTGTAGTTTAAGTCCAAATGTCTATTATCTACATATTGAAATCTTTATTTCTAAATCCGTTGTTGCTAACGATAAATTTCCAAAGTGGTTCTCCAAAGGCACTAAATTACTTATAATGAAAAAAAAAATGATTATACAAAAAATTCAAACTTAGTTATGATATTGGATACTTTAATAAATTTAAAGGAATCAGAAATTCTGTTAAAAGTTTGATTCATGAAGACTATGCCCAAGTGGATGGTACACAATCAGGAAAATTCGAAAGACCCTCGAACTATTTGTAATATGTTTGCTGATTTTTTTCAGAGTACATATACAAACCATAAAAACCAAAATATAGACGTCCCTGATTTAGAAGTATTCCAAAGCAATAATACTCTTAGCTCAATTAAAATTTCAAATGACACTGTATTTCACAAATAATCCAATTTGAAAAATAACTTAAGTCCCGGGCCAGATGGTTTTCCGGCCTTCTTTATAAAATATTGCAGTCCAATTCTCACTTGGCCAATTACCCTTCTTTTTCAACTTTCTCTCGATTCTGGCACATGACCTGAACAGTGGAAACCATCATTTATTATCCTTTTGCATAAATCTGGCTCTAAAAATGAAGTTAAAAATTACAGACTTATCGCTTCCTTGTGCTCTTTATCTAAAGTTCTTGATTCTATTGTTTCTGACCATTTAATCTCAACATTTAAAAATAATATTTCCATCCACCAACATGGCTTTTTACCTAATCGTAGTAAATCAACTAACCTATCTGAGTATACTAATTATATCAACAACTTAAAGGAACAAGGATATCACGTCGATGCCATTTATACTGATTTCTCCAAGGCTTTTGACCGTGTTGATATACAACTTCTTTTACACAAATTAAAATACTATGGCGTGATTGGAAGTATTTACTCTTGGATCAGATCTTATTTAACGCACACAACGCAGGTAGCCAGTATAAATGGCCATCAATCAAAAGTTATCAATGGAACCACAGGAGTATCGCAAGGCAGTCATCTCGGTCCAGTGCTTTTCCTTTTTTTTGTTAACGATATCACAAAGTGCTTTTCTCACTGCAAAAAGCTTCTTTTCCCTGACGATTTAAAGTCATGTATGAAAGTTACTGATGTCAACGATACTCTAAAAATTCAACACGATATAGATTCTTTTTGGAAATGGTGTTGCGAAAATCCCATGAACCCTAATATAGATATGTGTAAAACCATTTCATTTACAAAAAGCAGTGTACGAATTGATACTTCATATCATATCAATAATAACATATTGTCGAAAACCGACACAGTTTTAGACCATGGTGTTACACTAGATTCTAAATTGAATTTAAGCGCTCACATTGACAATGTTTTAAGTTAGAGTTTTCGCTTGTGTGGTTTTGTTAAGAGGTACTGCAAAAATTTTAACAATGTAATAGTAATTATTAAATTATTTTCAACGTTGGTGAGGCCAGTTCTCGAGTATTGTAGCATAATTTGGAATCCCTTCTATAAAAAACATATTGATAGGATCGAACAATTTTCCATGAGAACTAAGATATCAATCTGAAAAATTTAAATTTAGAGCTTGATGAAATCTTGATTATTAATGGCCTTCATTTGTTGATCAATGATAACAATTATCTACCGTTGCTATTTAAGTGTTATTGATTTTTTATTTTGAACAAAACAAAACACTCTTTAACATCATCTGCTAGGGAAACAACTGGCTTATTTAGATCAAGCTTGAAAACTGGAAAATTTATTTCGTATTATCATAAGGGCTCAACAAGGACAACATTAATTAAATTTTTTAAATTCAATCATTGTTATCAGAAATCGTGTTATCTTTCAGCGATCAAAACATTACTAAAAAATTTCCAGTGATCAAGCGATACCAATTCAATATCTCAAAAGTGTTAGTGTCCATAAAAACATAAGGTCAAATAAAGACGAATTTTTTCTAGTAATTTGATTTTTTTAGTCAACATGCAACAGTTCATTTTTACATTTCCTTTGGTATATTTTTCGTCTCAGTCTCTGCTTGGAACAAAGAAACTCATCTCAAAAGCTTAGCTCTCGCTTGTTGAAAACTAAAAAAACTAGCAAGCTCTAATTTTACATATATACTTAGTTCTTTATGCTGTCTCTGTTCCGCCGTTCCGTGTATCCTTAAAGAACAATAAAAAGGTCAGTTGAGGATAAAAGTCTAGTAAATTCTTTTGTTGCTGGAAGACGTTCATGGGAGGTATGTTGCTCCCAAGGTAGTACGGTCCTGAGAATCGTGAGGGATAGTGGGAGAGGTGAATTTTTCAGTACTTAAATATATTCGTAATATTTAAAGTGAAATATAGAGTATGACACAAAACTTCGACATAAAGGAAAAGGAAAATTTCTAAAGTTCCCAAAACTGATATGATGAAAAAGTGAGACATTTAAACTCAAAAACTGAAAAGTCGAAAAATAAAAAAAATCGAAAAAGTAAAATTTAAAAAATTGCAAAATCTGAAGAATCGCAAAACTGAAAAATCGAGAAATTGACGAATTCTAAAATTGAAACAGCGAAAAATTAGACGATCGAGAAGCCGACAACTCGAAAATTTGAAAAACTGAGAATTTGAAAAATCGAAACATCGAAATACATATTCAAAACCTGAAACATAGAGAGTTGGAAACATCAAATAGACCACAATCGAAAGATCGAAAAGTAAAAAATGGAATAATTTTAAATAAAAAAATTGGAAACGTCGTAAAATCGATAAATAGAAAAATTGAAAAACCAAAACCGAGAAGGCGAAAATTCGAAAGAAAGAAAAGTCGAAACATCTAAAAAATGTAAAATATAAAAATTCAACCAACTGAAAATTCGAAGAACTGAAAAATCTAAAACGCGATTGTTCTGAGAAACCAAGAAATCGAAAAATATAAAATTTTAAAACTTGAAAAATTAAAATATCTAAAAATTGAGAAACGGGGAAAACGAAACATCAAATAGAAAAAATTGGTCTAAAGAGTTTAGACAGTACTTCCCTCGCTGTCGGAAACTTGACGACTGCATGGCTATTGTGTTTTTTTTCTCATTACATTTTTGTAGTGTGGAATTTAAAAAAAAATTGCGATGACGTCATCAACATTTTTGCAAGGACACGTATATCAGTTCGGATAGATGTAGTGTAATACTAAGAATAAAATTATTGTATTCCCAAATTTTCGGGGAAAATGAATTGGGTCGTTTTGAAAATTGATTTGTTATAATCAATAAAATAACGAAACAATTTACTCACGTATATGGCGCCGGTGAGAGGCAACTGAAAATCGTTTATGTATAAGCATTCTTAATTTAAGATGACAAGCGTAACAGCATACGTGAGAGTCAAACAGAGAAACTGTAAACAAAACGACCATCGGTTTTATTGCTTCGACTTCCGCTTATTATATAAAACATTGGGTTTTATTTTAATTTTTGACGGTGGAATTCACAACTGGTTGATTATAAACATGTATATTCCACATTCGCGGAACCTAGACAGCGCACAAAACAAATGCACGTCTGTAATGTTAAAGTCGATGTAAATAAGCGTGCTACCCTTATGTTTCAACCCAGTTTTTACTTTAAAAAATTTTGTGTCTACCAAATTGGGTTGGTTGAGGTGTAATACTAATAATAAGTGTTGCCTTTAATTTAATCAATAAAATAAATTGACTTCATTAATTTTTTTGAGCCACCTCTTAAGAAAATCTAAAAAAATATGAATGGAATGATAGATAAATCACAAGTATAAACTCATCATATTTTTTGCATTTTAGATAGGATTTATTCAGCAAAATTTAAGGGTGACGTCATCAATTTTTTTAGGAGGGATGAACAAACACATTTTGAACAAAAGTTTACCATGCTTATAATAACTTTAAAATATCTCCAAGATTTCAAAGCATTCGGTTTTGTAATTCCTGATTAAATCGATAAAATAAATTCACGCATTCATTAATTTTTTTGAGTCACCCTGTATATGCAAATCGAAAAAATATGAATGGAATGATAAATCACAAGTACAGACTCATCATATTTTTCACATTTTAGATAGGATTTATTCGACAAAATTTTGGGGTGACGTCATCAATTTTTTAGGGGGGATTAGCAAATACATTTTGATAAAAAATTAGCCATGCTTATAATAACTTTAAAACATCTCCAAGATTTCAAAGCATTCGGTTCTGTAAATCCTGATTAAACCAATAAAATAAATTCGTGCATTCATTAATTTTTTTGAGTCAGCCTGTATATGCAAATCCAAAAAATATGATTGGAATGATAAATCACAAGTACAGACTCATCATATTTTGTACATTTTACATAGGATTTATTCGGCAAAATTTTGGAGTGACGTCATCAATTTTTTAGGGGGGAAGAGCAAATACATTTTGATAAAAAATTTACCATGCTTATGATAAGTTTAAAACATCTCCAGGATTTTAAGGCGTTCGGTTCTGTAATTCCTGATTAAATCAATAAAATAAATTGACGCATTCATTAATTTTTTTCAGTCACCCTGTATATGCAAATCGAAAAAATATGAATGGAATGATAAATCACAAGTACAGACTCATCATATTTTGTACATTTTAGATAGGATTTATTCAGCAAAATTTTGTGGTGATGTCATAAATTTTTTTGGGGGGGACGACCAAATACATTTTGATCAAA